TGACAAGGCTGTATAGCTTTTTACAAATTATCTAGGCATCTTAACACAAATATACCTGTTATAGCAAAATAACATGTAATACAGTTGGTTACATCAATCGCTTTTTCACTTCCTTGTGTTATATTAATGCACCTTATCAATCACTATTTCCAGTGCATGCTTAATATGTTATTGCTGCATAGCACAAACCTGGGTAACATGGCACAACCTTTTTTCTGTAGCCCATGCTGCACAGGCCTGCATATGATCTACAACCTTCAAGTACCGTAGAGTAGTGTATGGCCAGGTTAGCTGGGAACCAAGGGAGCTTGGAAATCTGTAAATCTCTGCAATTCAGGAAGAAGCAAGGAAATCCAGGGTCCCATGTAGAACTCTTTGATACCTTGGGTCAGTAATTTCTGGAACAAGTTGGATGCTTTGCAGAGCTTTGACAGACCTTGAGCAAAGGGCAGAAATGAGTCTGGGAACTATCTAACTCCATGTACAGAGAAAGGTATGTGAGAAGTAAGGACCCTATACAACTGAGATCTGAATATGAAAGCAAGACAAAGGGAGAAGGGAACACAACAGAACTCCTACCTCCCCCAAGCTGAAGGTGCAGTGATGGAAATGTATTGGCTCTACTTTTTCAGTAAAATAAATTAAAAATAATGAACAAAATCTTACCTCATCACAACAGTGACTGTATGCAGCACACAGGGCAAAAAGTTGGCTTTTTTGGATCATTACAGCGGCCCTCCCTTCCCTTCAGACTGGAGGGAAGCTGAACTGAGGGAGGGCATGACCAGGCCCCAGCAGACTGAATATGACCGGGGAGGGATTTAAACCTCCACCCTGGCCTACGGGGACCCCAGCCATGGTCTGCCCGGCTCTTCCCTCCTACTCCTGGCTCAGCATAGCCCAAGATCCTCACAGCCCCTCTCTCAGCCAGTGAACGATGCCGCTGTGCCTTCCCAACTGCCAGGGTCAGGTTTTGCTTGGAGTGGCTCAGGAGCAAAGGCCCAAATAGGGCACAGAGGGGCCCAGGACCAAAGTTGCATAAAGGAAAGTTCCTGCCCAGTGGTCCCTTCTACTTGCTGGAGAGTGAGGCCAGCCCAGCCCCAGCCCCCACAGCACAGTGCAGGGTGTAGGCTCACACTTTCAGCCCCAAGCCCTACTACCTTTCTCCATCAGGCACCAAGCTAGGTATGCCATGCCCACTGTTCCCAGCAGCAATGCAGCACAGCCCCTTATACCAGGCGCAGGTCACTACTCCTGCAGCTTCCCTGCTGCTGTCACTGTCAAGGGTCCACCCAAGCCATATGGGTAGGGGCCACCCATGCCGCTGAACTGCAGTCAGCCACCGGATGGGAAGACAGTGGCAGGGAAGCCTAGGGTGGGGGGTAGTACTCCACGTCTGGTACAAGGGGCTCTGATGCATATGATGGCTGGGGTCCCTTGCAGGGAGAGGGGCAGAAGGGGAAATAAACCTCCTCCTTGCCCCCTTCACCTCAGGGGGCCGTGCCAGCTGGGCTGGCATCTGGCCATGCCCCCACCCTGACCCCTGCCACTGGACTGCTGAGGGGGGACGGTGCCCTGGAGAGCTCAAGACTCTTCCCAGTGTGGGGAATGCACTGTGGGCAAGAGCGGGGGCAGGGGAGGGGGCAGAGCTGCTACAGCCTGTACAGGGCAGGTGGTAGCAGCAAGGTTTGGAGCAGTGGCTACAGGAGCTAAGCTTGATTTTGGGGTGACCACAGCCCCTAGTACTGCTGCCACTTGCCCCCTGCAGGCTGTGGCAGCTGTGTCCCACACGTCCCTCCCGCAGTGCAGTCCCCCCCACCAGGAAGAGAATTGCAGTACCTGGGATGCCCCCCCAACACACAGCAGTCCAGTGGCAAGGGAGGGAGTGTGACCAGATGCTGGCCAGGTCAGGTCGGTATGTCCCCCTGAGGCGAAGTGGGTAGGGAAGGGGTTTATTTCATCTTCTGTCCCCTCCCCCCACAGGGGATCCCAGTCAGGATCTGCCTGGCCAGGTGAGAGCAGCAGAGCCAACAGCCAGGGCTGGCAAACGCTGGCTGCAGTCCTCTGGGGGGGAGAGGGGATGGAAAGAGGAATAAACCACCTCCCTGCCCCCTTCATCTTGGGGGGCCATGCTGGGACGGCATCTGGCCACTCCCCCACCCCTGCTGCTGGACTGGGCAGGAGAGGGGGGACCTAGACAGGGCACCAGCTTCTGTCATGGCCCCCCAGGAGTGGAAGCAGAGAGGCATTTATTCCCCCTTCCCTTCCCAGTCCCACCGGCAGGGACGCTAGGTAGGGTCTGCCTGACTGGGTGCAAGTGGCGAAGATGATGGCCGGGAGAACAGTGAGCAGGGCGTGTTGAGCTCTGTGCCTGGGGGACAAAGGTTATAGGGCTTGAGGCTGAGAGGATGAGCCCATGCCATGTGCACTGCTGCAGAGGCTGGTGCTGGCCCTGCTCTCTGGGAGGTAGAAGGGGCAGTCAGGCAGTAGCTGCTCCCCAGGCTTCATGCTCTGCCCTGGGCTAGCTCCCTGCTGGTGGGATGGGAGGAATTAAACCCAATTTGCTTGAGGCTGCAGATGGGGCTGTCCATGCCCCACCACCACTGCTGGAGCTGCGAGGTGGAGGGGTGGGGATGCCTGCCAGGGGCTGGTACACCCTGGCTAGATACACCCTGGCTAGGGTCCCCTGGGGGGAGAAAGGAGAAAGGGGAGAATAAACCCTCTCCCTGCCCCCTTTGCCTCAGGGGGCCATGGCAGGTTGGTGTCTGGTCACATCCCTGCCCCTGCTAAGCTAGAGAGCAGAGGGGCGGGGCCAGCCCTGCTCTCGGGAGCAGAGAGCACAGCACAGCCCAGCACTGCAGAGCATGCTGGGATGCTGGGGGTCTCTGTTTTAAGGAAGGTGATTTACTTGACTTAATTTAAGCCAGAATTTCACTCCTTAAAAAAAAATAATGAAGTTGCCTCTTTGTGCACCCATGTGCACGTGTTTGTGCACCCATGCGCACACACAAATGCATGTATGTGCACATACATACATGCATGAATACATGCACACCTGAATGTCAACCCCATTTTTACAAAGATTTTGGAAGATTTCTGGATGTTGCTAATATATGGGACTCTGGAGGACTCTGGTAACCCAGAACTTCACTCCTGCAGAAAGTCTAAGATGGAAGAACCCACAGAAGAATAGCTTCAGCCCATGTAGCCCTGGAGGAGTCTGCCAGCAGGAAGCCAAGGTTTAGACAATTGGGGTTATACTATGTAGCCCTTGGGTCAAAGTTATTTGAAAGTACAGCATAAATAATCAAGTAAAGGACATATTTTCCTTACAAATAGGTTGTTTATTCTTCCTTTTTTTCAGCTTCATGTGTTATAAGAAGAATAAAATTGAGAAGCCATAAAGAACTGTATTGAATCAGGATGGTGCCTGTTTCTTAATATGAAAAATAGCTGTATTGGCCTATGATTCATCCACTAGTTTTAAATATTGTGGAGTTGCAGGGTATACAAACCATATGTGATTATTAACACTGAAAAGTTTAATTACATTTCTTTACACCATGCTGGCTTTTGTTGATTACTAAGGGAGAATTCAAAAGCAGAAAAATGCCTAATGATCTCCTCAGAGCTATATTTTTCTTCCTGCTTTGTAATGTAAATGGGTATTTTGAAAAACACCACAGACTCAAATGCTCCATCAGCATCCTTTCTGCTTTTAACAGAAGGATCACCTGACTGCCACCTAGAGATACCCTTTTCACTGAGAAAATTCAAAAGTAATAGGTAGGGATGGGGATAGAATAGGTCATCATTGCTGGGAAATGTAAAGGACCCTGACTAAACTGGAGCGGAGTTAGGCTGCTGGTGGGGGTGGAGAGAGAAAGAGAGAGAGGGAGAGATGTGTGTGGGGGGGAGCGCTGCTTCATCTTTTGAGAGGAGGGAAAACAAAAGAGCTCAGCTGCAGTTTTGTGTTTCTGTGTCTGGCTTTAGCAGAAAATTCTAGACATCCGTCCTGAAAAATCAAAGCACAGCTGAGAGACTACATCTATCAGGAAGATATTTTTTCCCCTCAGAATGGGTTGGATCAGTACAGGTGGTTTGCAGATCATGCGAAGACAGACTGGCTGAGCACCATGGAAAGGTGGGATAAGACTCTGTCTCTCTTTCTGTCTTTTTTTGCCTCCATTCATAGAGCAGTGAGTCAGTGACCCGGGACCCGATGAGGGGTCAGTTCGCATGATTAGGTGGGGTTTTAAACCCCACAAAACAAAACCAAAAATTAGAGGCACTACCATATTCAACCAGATGTTGAACCCAAACTTGAGCTGAGTCTGACTCGGCTGATAGCATTTCTGTGTGTTGTCTTTGGTGTTGTCTTTGTTTAGAATAGTTCGTGCAAGAAAGGACCAGACCATAAGACAGAACGCATGTTTCATTCACAAATTGTGAGATGACAGCTTTGATGCAGTTAAAATTGTGCCAGGGAGACTGTAAATGGAGGCTTTGATTGTTGTGTTTCTGGCAATGAAAGAGCTGTTGACTTTTGGAATTTCTTGTAATGTTGGCATGATTAGAAGTTGAACTGCGGTTATTGGTGAACATTGTTTGAATGGTAACAATGGGTAGTTCAAGCAGAGCAAGTTTGAATGGTATTTCTTCAATAGCAATTCCAAATGCATCTGACTCCTACACTCTCTTGGTTTTCATCAGATGCTGGGAATTTCTTTCTTTCCTGACAAAATGAAACAGGGCTGAAAAAGGAAAGCAGTTAATATTTCTGAGTTTCATGCGTTTATCGTACCGTAGCTATTGTTATATTAAAATGTCTCAATATCTAATACGAGTCCCGGTAATATCTTGTTTCCCTTGCTGTGTGGAAGCATTCCTTTTGTTTCTGAACGTGTTTTCTTCCCTTGTTTTTCTGAACAGAAAGCATCCCCTGGTTTTTGTTTTTCTTTTAATGGTAGCAGGAGGCTGGCATACAAAGTACCCATTGTGCACAGGTTAATGCTCTGCTTCATTCTGAAGTAAACTGCCTGGAGGTACTAGGAAGAAGTGGTGGGGGGGAGGAGGGGGAAGTGCTTGACTGGTGCCTAAGAAATATTGAATTCAGATGATTTAAATCACATATAGGAAAATCTATTTCTCTCCAGCTGGAATTCAGCTCCATGTCACACCAGCTCTGCAGACCGTAGCGGGGAGATTCTTAGCAACCAATAAATCAGATTTGTAATGGGCCCTTTAAAATTTGTCTGCGAGGGGTGACTGCCTGGCTCCCCTTTGGCCAAATTAAGATGCAATCTGACAGTGCACGAGCAGCTGTGTGCTGACATTTTCTTGTGAACCTAGTGAAAAATGGCTCCATATCTTTTTCCTAGTCCCGGAAAGATGGTCTCTGAGTAGCCATGCATTTTTCCTGTATTGTTGTTTGTTCCAGTTACCGTTCTCACTGATAGTGTCTGGCTGGTCATTTCAGTGTGATTCCCTTTAAATCTGTGCTCCAGTGACAGGGGATGGTAGTTCGGACAGATTCTGCCTGGAAGTCGGAACCTGCGCCAATACTACTGCCTAGACAAGAAACGTTTTTTACAAATGGGTCAGAGAAATGCTGCTAATAATGTTGCTCCTTTCAGTGTTAATGGAGTTAGATAAGTGGGCTGAAAAGCATGTGTCTTAATGTACCATCTACTGTAAAGGAGGAAAATGCAAGCCAGTTGTTAGGGAAATTGACAGGTATAACTGCAAATCCTTGGAATATAAATCCATTTCTGAAAGGATAAAGCTACCTTTGTTGAGAGAAGTGTGTGCTTATTCAAGGGAAAAGCTTGCATTCAGATACTACTAGACAATGCGGGGAGTAGTAGGGGGGGATGCACTGCTTTTATTGTACTATGAGTGTGCTTATTGAAGACATTCCTGTATCAAATGGCTATTGAGTATGCCACAGCAGCAGCATTTTAAGTTCCTCAGTTCAGGGTTCAGTTTATAAAATCAGCGGGCAGCAGAGGCAGGGTGTTCTTGGAGAAGCTCAGTTACTCGGTGTATGTGCAAGGTGACAGAAGGGGGTAGAGCTTGGCCATGTTCCTCAGTAATAACCCATACCATCTGATTCATGGCATAGGAGGTGACTCAGGAGGAAGCTGCTGCTTTAGGAGGATAAGGTGTCTTAGGATGAGTTACTTACACAAAAACAGGGTAAATATGGGATGGAAGGGGTGGCTATGGGAGTTATAGGGGTATTGTCCAGGTAATTCAGCCAAAGTTGTTTCATGAATGCCTAATAACTCATCTTCAGAAGAAAAAAGAAACCACTGAAAATATAAAATACCTTCACTTCCTTCACATTTTAAGTTACTTGTGTCTGCATTATTACAGACACAAGTCTGTACAAATTATGATTTACCATAAGCAAGCAATAGTTTTAAAAGCCTCCATCATGGAAACAAATGACACAAATGTTGTGTCATTTAGTCAGTAAAAGAGGCATTACCTCTTAAGTGGTGGTTAGAAACCAGGTTGTCTTAGAAGGGTTATAAAGCCCCCCCCCCCCC